AGAGATAATCATTTACCCCGAAAAAAAGTTAGTGTTCTGTGTGCGATCTGCCGAAGAAAAATTACAAAAAGTAGTTAGCAAAAATCTACTTCAATGACTAGAATCTATGCTAATGTTCTCCCCTCCCCTGAATGGCGTGACCAATCAGAAAAATCTCTCGATGAATCAAAGCCATTGTTTTTCGCTTATAAAAGGCAGATTTTCTGAGCTGCCGTGGAACACACATTTTTTGCTCGTGAGAAAGTTGGACGTGTGACACCATTTTGTTGTTTCTACTTTATTTGTTGGACTGTTACGACGGACTCGTTTGAACTGCGATTTGGCTACAAGTGTTGCAATCGAGAAACAGAAGAAATCTATTGCAGTTGCTACTATCAGTTAACAGTCTTTTCTTTACTACACCAATACTGCCAATAAAACTATTAAAATAAAGCAGGGAGAGGAGCTGGCACATGCGTGCCCAGTGAGAGAAGTTGAACAGGTGAGAGTATGGAATGAGAATAGGCTTGGGAATAGACAAGTAGCAATGAAATAAGGGATGAAGATATAACAGCCCCTGAGCATTATAGGAGGAAATTGAGGGGGTTGCTGAATGGTAATCGGGAGGTAATAGCATTTACTGATAAGGAACTGGGACAAACAGAGACAGTTGAAATGAAGATAGACACGGGTAATAAACCACCTATTAAGACCGTATAGGAGCCCAATCTACAAAAGAAAATTAGTATAGAAGGCAGTGGATGAAATGATGGAATCAAGGATAATCAAAAGATCCAAATCTCCCTGGAGTTTTCCAATAGTGATTGTTGAAAAGAAAGATGGAGAGCATGTGTGGATTTTCATCAATTAAATGCCATTACAAAACCACTGGCAGTGTCCCTCCCCTCGATTGATGATATTCTAGCTCTTTTAGGAAAGTCTAAATGTTTTTCCACCTTGGATTTGAGGTTGGGATATTGGCAGGTAGCACTTAGCAAAAAGGATCAGGAAAAGACTGCTTTTACCTGCCACATGGGTCTCTTCAATTTTAGAGTTATGCTGTTTGGGCTGGCAAACGCCCCGAGCATATTTAGTCAGTTAAGATCCATATTATTGAATGGCACTGAGGCATTTGCCATGGCGTATCTAGATGACATCATGGGGTTTTCAAAATCACCGGAGGAGCATTTTGAAAGTTTGCAGAAGGTATTCAATAAGTTAAGAGAACATGGATTAAAGTTAAAATTATCAAAGTGTTAGTTTATGAAAGAAGAGACAAAGTATTTAGGGTTTATCATAAACAAAGGAATAAAAACGGATTTAGACAGTTGAGGTTATAAGAGCCATGCCCGTGCCAAAGACCATAAGAGGGGATTTATTGGAGACATCGGATATTACCGGAGGTTCATACCAGCATTTAGTTGGCTAGCAGGTCCTCTAATAGCTCTAAGAAGCATGCTAGGTTTAAGTGGACCGAGGATTGTCAGCATGCATTCGAGGCTCTAAAGGACCAGCTGACAATTGTACCCCTGTTGGCCTACCCAGACCTGAGTAAGCCCATGGTACTGTACACCAATGCTAGCGAGGAAGCAGGGATTGAGCCTAACCTTAGGGAAGAAGAAGAACTGAGTGAATGGGAAGAAGAGGATGAAATTCCGTTAGCTCAATTGCAGAGCAAATTGCGGGCTGGAAAAAAAAAAAAAAACACCTAGTGTTAATGAGGAATTACCACTAAAACAGCGATTGAGGGGAGTGATGTAGCCCGAGCCCAAGGATTAAGTGAAACCAGTACAGTGGCTGTAGTGAATGAGTGACGGTCTGGGACTAACTGTGCATTTATCATCAGTGTTGATGAACTGTGTGGACGGACCCCATGTATGCACAGCACTGATGGTGGTGTGGGTCGGCCCAAGATGTAACCACCCACTAAAAACTAAGAGAATGATTGAGTAAGACGAATTATTCTCTCCATCTCTTTGCAGACATGGACGAGAGGAGGCTCATGGTACTGACGATGCTAGTTGTGGTAGCTAATACCTGGGAACACAGTGAGAATACTGTATTTAAGAAGACTAGCAAAGTGATTATAACTAGATCAACGTGGTTGATAACTTTGGTGATAGACCTGCAGCCGTATGAGAAGTTACTGGGTCAGTTGAAGACCGAAGTGGACAAACTAGATACAGCCAGGAACACAAATCACCGGAGACTATTTACAGACTCCGGAATACCACCGTATATTATACCCCTTTGCTCAGGAATCAGTAATACTTGAGAGACAATGGAAGGATATGAGTTACTATTTGAAAGGAATAAAGTTGTTACGGACCAGGCAAAAGAGGGTAGTATTACCTATAATGGGAAAGGCATTAAGCGTGTTGTTTGGTACAGTCTCCGAAGACAAAGTGAGAGTAATTAAGAGAAAATTAAAGATGGTAGAACAGAGACAACAAGCAATGGTTCAGTCGGTTAGAGAGAGCGTGTCTATACACAATGTTACTAGGCTGGAATTGGCTAAGAATAGAGGGAGTATCAATTGGCTGATTTCTCACCAACGGGTTTTTAGAAAAGAAGTGATAAAAATGTAACCACGTCTTTACATAAAGAACAAAAAGAAAACCCTAACCCTTGTCATTGCTACGATAATGCGCATTAATTTAGACAATTAAAAGCAGTAAATAGGCCAAAAAGTTATGATTGCACGACGGAAGTGATCGACAGTGAATCTAATCACACAAAGCCAGTAATGGCAAACGAATGACCGCGAATGAGTTCGAATTTTTCTTGTTGATAACTCCAAAACAGCAGGTTTTACCATAGTTTGTTACTTCGAGAAATCAATTTTTTTTTTGTTCATTCATAAAAAAAAAAAAATCTAACATTTGCTAAAAAAAAAAAAAAAAAAAAAAAAAAATGTCATTAAAATTTTTTCAAAGTTTTTAAAGACATGATTGAAGATATGGAAACCAGGAAATGCAAAAGTAAAACTGTGACTTACAGCAATGGGATGAATTTCAAAATTTAAACAAATTATAAGCCATTTTTTATTTTTAAATAAATATTCATTTTCTGTGCCGATTTTTTTTCCTGTCCATTAGTGTTTTTAAATTATGCAAGCATAAAAAAAGAAAGAAAAGTTTTAGTGAATTATTTTAAGGTTCGGGACGAATTCAGTATGTTCACACTTAATGAATAAATATTTCACTGAAATATGTTCAGAGATTTCTTTAACAGTAAAAAAAAAAAAAAAAAAATGCCTAAAACCTAAAAAAAAAAAAAAAACACGATCGAAAACAACCTCCCCAAAATACTTCAACGTTTTCTAATAATAAAATAACCTAGTCAGTATACAATTCATTCATTAACGAATAAGTGTTAAAAAATTCGTTTGAATCAGATAATTAATTCTGATTTTTTGTATCTTTTTAGTCAGTTAGTGGGTAGCGATTTTGCGTTTTATTTCGGAAAAAAAAAAAAAAAAAAAAAACGCATCATCCATGTTTGGTGGTACCCAAACACCAGACAAGGACAAAAAAAACATATTTTTTAAGCAATCACGTCTTTTTGTTTAATTATATCTACGTACAACATTACAATTACTTTTTTTACTTTACAAAATAAAATAAGCAATATACTTTTAGTTTTTGTTTGAGCATTAAACTAAGAAGCAAAAATGTGGCATGTCTGGTCAAAATTAAAATTTAATAAACTACGTAAAATCAACGGAGGGAAAGTTACATTCTTTTTGTTTTTTAATTATGTAAATCTAAAAAATAGATGATGTCTTAAAAATGCGTTTTACTTTTACGGTTTTGATTTTTTTTTCTCTTTCGAATGAAAAACAAATTAATTTAATTAATTTGAAACTATATAAAACTTCACTGCATCATTATGCGAGTAAAACTTCTTTCCTCTTTAAGACTACACAAAAAAGAAAAATAAACAGAAAATTCAGATTAAGACTACTTAAAATAGACTGGTCTACACATAAATAAGGAAAAATATTTTTTAAATAATTTTTTTAAAGTAATGCCCACATTTAAAAAAAATACATAGTGTTTTATTCGGTGGGAAATGGGGAAGGGGTCATGAGCTTATCGTAAAAACTTTCACTTAAGTTTTAAAAGATATTAAAAATTTATTTTCCTCTTTTGTATTGTTTTTATTTTTACATTTTCTACCATAGGTAACAATTTTTTAATGGAATATACAAGAAAAATTATTTCACTCTTAGAGAGACATTTTTTTTTTTTTTTTGCTAATAAAGAAAAGAAAGTCAGTTTTAGTGTCTAGTCTCTTAAAAAAAGATGAATCAAATTATGCTTCATTTCATTTTGGATTATTAAACTTAATATTTTTTTATTGCACACGTTCGGCATCCCCTCCCGCCCAAAAACAAAAAAAAAGAAAAGAAAAAAAAAAGAAGGAAACCGAAGATGAGCACGTGGTTTTGTTACTTTTATGAAAAGCTAAACTAAATTTGTACGATAAAGATCAAGCCATGAAAACAAATAAAAAAAGAAAAAGTAATTTAAGAAATTCTGCTGCAATCAAATTAATAGAAGCCTTAAATAAAGAGTGCAGGTTATGAGAAAAACACAGGGACTGCGAATCTGAGATTTATTTTTTTTTATGAAACTCAAAAAAGTAAAACTTAGTCGAGTCAATTAAAACAGTAAAGCCCCCGGCGAGTAAAACGATGCAAGGCAAAAAAAAAAAAGTGTTCGATTTTTAAGGAAAAAAGCTCACTAAATTTTAAGTGCAAATTTAAAAAAGATAATGAATCGAACGGTCAGACAAAAAGTAAAGGCATTTCATTAAACCTTAAATGATAAGAATTAAAACTAAAAGTAAAACCCCTTTTTCCGATAATCAATGAATTAGGCGATTACTTTGTGTGCGTGAGTGTTAATATGCACAGCTTATTAAACCACCCAAATCAAAGAAGCGAAATTTTGGTGGTATAAAAAAAAAAAAAAAAAAAAGTTTGTTTTTTTTTTTTTACTATTTTGAAAACCCACCTTCTTGATAACTTCATTGTCAGGAATTAAAAGCTGTTTGATAATATTCTCTAGTTCGGATACCATGGTTGGCGCAAATGGGAGAATACTTTTTATACAAAAGTTGTAAAAAAATTGCAAAGTCGAATAATTAAATATAAAAAAAATCTTTCTTAGTCAACAAAATATTCATCACTCAGCTTCCACTATTTATATATGCACTTGTCGGTCTCCACAAATTGAAGAGCTACAACAAATACATGCTATGCATTATTACTACCAAGGTTACACGTGTTTCATTTAAAAAAATACATGCATTATTTTGCAGTTACACTTTTTATTTTTTTCAAGATAATTAATGAACAAATACAATGAGTTAAACTGAGGAAAATAAATATTTGTATGAATTAATAAAAAAAATTTAATTAATCAATCTCTATACTTTCTTTTTTAACTAACACCTTAGGTGAATAATTTTTAGGCTAAAAATTATTCACTATTTTCTTTGGACATATGGGCTTTTAAGTTTTTTTTACTTTTCTTCCCATAACATTCTTTTATTTTTCTGCACCAAATCACTATATTTACATTTTATTTTAAAACATATTTCCTATATACAAATGTCATAGATTCGTTCCCAGATATTTTTAGTTTAAAATTTTAAACTGTTTGAAACGTTTTCAAAATGTTTACCACATTTTTAAGTATTAAGGTTTCCATGGTAATTAATTCTGCCAGAGATTTTTCAGTTGTTTTAAGAATGCTTGTAGATCAGCGGTTCTTAACTGGAGGGGAGGGAATTTTCAAGTTGTTGGGTGGGGGGATGTTTTGAAGGAGGACCACCAGTCAACTTCAGAATCACTTTCAAACAAAGAGCTACCTACTAAAGGGCTATCAAGAACAAACGTCGACCCACAATTCAAGACCAATTCAAAGCTGCATCCCTTCACCACTCCTTCTGTCGTGCCCACTGGACTTCTGTTGTTGATCTACAAACTCACTCAATTGCAGAAATTCCTATATCTACCAACATTTTTCCTACCCTACAAGAACTGTGAGTGTTTCTAAACCTTAACAAAATTCTACTCGCTTAAAGAACTTTTTAGGTGCTCAGAGAAATATTTTGAGCAAGCCTTTTTGCTGTTATGAACATTTTCTCTTCCCTTAAAGGAGATTTTCTCTTTTCCCTTTCTTTCACTCTTAATTGTCTTTCTCCCTTTACCCTTTTTTCTGTATATGTAAATAAACACTTTCTTCTTTTATTGTTACTCACCAAGCAGGATATTTTTTTTATCCGTCTGCACCTAAAAGAGAGAGTTTGTCCGCTCTAATCTTGCAGTTTTTTACTTGTGTTTTGATGTGGGAAAGCCAGGACAAACTTTCCCCGCACCTTCTAATCTCCATAAATATGGAGAATATGCATCTCTTTGGCAGTAAGTACTTGATGTTCCTATGCTGATGATGTTTCAGTTCTTGTGTCGAACAGAGCCAAGATTAATGAAGTCAGCAAAGAAATCAGTGGTTATGAGATGGTGACAGGGGCCAAGATCAACCACAATAATTTTGTTGGCTTGCAGTTGAGTGCATGGAAGGGAGTTTCTCTTCCTGGACTTTTACTCTGGATGGATGGGCCGGTCAAGATACTCGGCGTCTGGTTTGGTCCTGATATCCAACTGGATATTGGTCAGAGGTACAAGGGAAGATCGAGATCGCAGTTAATCTGTGGTCTTGGAGGAATCGGTCCTTGAAGGGGAAGGCAGAAGTATGTTTCCCACATCAATCTGATTCTCCTTTACCGACTCTCTGTACTTCCACTTCTGTATGCCATACTAATATCATTAGTAAGGCTCTTGTTCTCCTTCTTGTGGGAAGGCAAGGCTGCTAGGGTATCTCGGGAGATCTGTTGCCTTCATCCATCTGAAGGTGGTCTAGGTATATCTAGCATTGAGATTTGTCAATATATGCTTCACATCGGGTTCCTAGATCGAATGTGTCATGAGTCAGATGAGGAGGGCACCTTCTGGAAGGAAGACGCCCATAAGAACTTCCCATCCCTGAGAAGTGTGCACTCGTGTGAGGAGGAGGCCGGTTGTTTACCCCAATCCGAATGCTCCTTTTTACCATGAATGTCGTCTTGCTCTGAAACACCTCTTATGGGCATCGGATGGCCTCTCCAACAGCCAGGCGTTGTCTCAAAGGTTATTATATCAGGCGTTAGTCAGGGGGTCCGTTCGTGATGAGCTGATTGACAAGATCGGCCTTACGAAGCAGAATGCTCGCACAATATGGCCTTGTGCGCTCGGGTTGAAATGTCTCAATAACGATGAGGCATCTCTGACCTGGCTGGTGATTCATGGGGCCCTTTTGGTTGCCAAAAGACTTTGTTCAGTGGGCTTGGAGAAATCTCAAAACTCCTGACGCTGTGATGAGGAAGTCGAGATCCTGGGTCACACCATCTTTCATGCAGGGTGGTAGCACTGTTGTGCAAGTTTGTTGAAGGCCTCATGATTCGCATTCTGCATGGAAAGTTCTTTGTGCTTGAGGCCTCTTCTGTTTGTAGCAATGTGGCACCACCGTTGACGAAGGCTGAACAATATGTGTTCTTTTGCTTGCTAGGTGTTATGAGAGTCGTGATTTGGATGACACGTCAGAAGGGATTCTATGGAGACGAGAAGCTCACTACTTCCCAACTGATCTTGTACTTTAAGCATCAGCTTAAAGTCAAGATTAGGACGGAAAAGCGGCGGCTCACTTCATGAGAATTTGGCAAAAGGTGGGGGAATCTTGCGCAATTGTGTCAAGTGAAAGGGGCTGACCTGGAGTGGCACTTTGATGCCGGTTAGGCATCAGGATATTGTTCTCCCTGGGTTGAACATATATTAGGCTAGTTTTAGGTTTGTTTTTGGATCTTTAGTTTCTTTTTTCAGTTAACTTAGCGAGGGTATGTATGTTCATCGGACCCTTTTATTTCTGTCCCTATTTTTCTTTAGTTTAATTCCCCGCCCCCTCCCTTGTTAGGTGGTCATTGATGTCAGTTCTCTGGTAGATGCAGGGTGCCTTTCGTTTCGTGTGTGTGTTTTCATATTTGTTGTTGTGTCTGAATGCGTGTGTGTCTATGTGAGTGCTTAAGATGAATGAATGTTTTATACTATTATAATCCCGCATCGATTTCGTCCAGTTAACTGATGTTTCTGCCACATTTAAGGATTGTGGGGTTTTTTATTACTAACATGATTTTGTTTAGTTTCTTGTAATTAGATTATATTCATATTGTATATACTCATTGGAGATATTTTAAATTGTTGTTTTATTCCCCTCCCACAGACAATGAATTGTACATATGGGGACTATTTAGGATTTTCATAGAGACATTGAGGTATTATGGTGGATGTAGTAAGAAAGGTAGGTAAGAATGTGTTGTTTTAGTGTTAGGACTATTGTTTGTATGTTTGGGTCAGTGTTTGTGGCTAGCTAAGTTTAAAGTTAAGACAGATGAAGACCGCCCTTTTCCCCAATCCCCATTTTGGCCTTCTACCACATTTTGTACCATAGTACAAATAAATATCGGAAGTACTTGATGTTATCAGTGATAACATCAGGTTGACGATAAAATACCAGTCATCTTTGGAACCTGTTTCAACAAAGAGATATACCTGCTGGGCAGTAAAGACTGAATGTCAGCCCACTATTAAAAACTAATTGAGATCTGCCTCCTTGCAACTAGAAATTCCTGTCATTGTCCTCCAAACTCACTCAACTACAAATTTTGGATCTTCTGACAGTTTCCTCCTCAACAAGAGCTCTGAAGAAATTTATGTGAGTGTTAACCCATAAGAACAATTTACTAGCTTAAAGAACTTTTAGGCAGTCAGAGAAATATTTTGAGCAAGCCTTTTTATGAACATTTTTTCTTCCTTTAAGTTAAAGAAATTTTCTTCTCCCTTTCTTTCTCTCGTATATGCGTATATCCTGTTACAATTTTTTGTGTATGTAAATAAATATTTTCTTCTTTTATTGTTACACCCCAAGCAGCAGTTTGAGTCTTTATTCTTCCACCTAAAAGAGAGAATTGTCTGCTCTAATCTTTCAAGCTACAGTTGCTTTTATCAATTCTGTCACATTTAATCTTAACCCTTTCATTTGGTAAGGCAGGGACAAATTTCCCACGGGTTTTCTGTGATTTGTGTTTAGCTGAGAGTATGAAATGGTGATTGATTTCAAAAATTAAAAATTCACCTTTCTTTGCAATCCAAATGGATGAGTCAACTGTTGGTCTTTGTGAGATACATCCACAAAGAGAAATTTGAGGAGGATTTTCTGTTTTTCCAACTGCTTGAAACATAACTTGAATTGGGATTGTTTGGTTGGAGTGTGCACAGATGGAACACCTGCAATGTTGAATTCAAAATCCAGATTAGTTACTCTCATCCAGCAAATGAATCCACTAGCCCAATCTCCTCACTGTGTGCTTCACAGAAAAGCATTGGCATCAAAAACTCTTCCAAGATCCCTTCATGATAACTTGTGAATTGTAATTAAAGTAGTCAACTACATCAAAGGTTCCGCTCTTAACACAAGGCTGCTTCAGTAATTCTGTCAAGATTTGGAAGCAGGACATAATGCCTTGCTGTTTCATATGCAAGTCTGATGGCTGTCCAAAGGAACAAGGAAAGATTATTCTTTTAGAAGAGTTGAGAAATGATGACTTCCACATTCAACTAATTTACTTGGCCGATATTTTTGGGGAGTTTAATGAACTCAGCAAGAAGCTTCAAGGAAATGATATGAACATTCTGATCCAGACAGACAAAATCAAGCCATTTGTAGCCAAACTTGATCTCTGGATGGGCCAAGTGGAAAGGGGTAATTTTGCATCTTTTGTGAGTTTGAGTGATTATGTTGGAGATGATGTTATCCCAAAAAGAATTGCTGAAGATATTGCTGATTACCTCACTGCTCTATGAGAGGAGTACCAAAGAATGCAGAAACTGCATAGATCAGAAATCCATTTCAATGTGAGGTTGGAACTGTCAAAGAGGCACTTCAAGAGCAATTCCCTGAGCTCTACCACAACTCTTCGGCAAAGG